CCCCCCCCCCCCCCCCCGCCCAACCCAGGTACTTTTGCAGTGGAGTATCTACAGTGAGATACCTCCCTATACACAGCTTTCCCCAGCACTTCAGAGGGCAGATTTCCAGAAAGTCGCACAGTCATGGTGATTTCTCTATTTTAGGTACAGCTATGCCCTCTCCAATAAGACCCAGATCTCAGCCCCTGGGAGAGGAAAGTGGGGAGCGGGGCACACGGGGAGCTTTTCCCTGGGCTCTATCTCAGCCCTAGTGGTCATGATTCCTTCTTCTATTTGTGAGTTCTGTATTCTCTAGAATTTCTATTTACTCCCTGCCAGCCAATCCCTCATTACCCCAATCCTCTGTTAGAGGGAGTAATTCTTTAAATTATACTTTTCCTGTTCAAATTACTGTGTGGTTTACTGACATATACTCCCTTATATATTTTAAAGTAACCGCTAACATTTCTTATCAAAATTTCAATAAGTGAAAAAATAAGTGACTTTTCTGGTGTCTGTAAATAGATTACATGCTTAAAATACATTTTTGCCAAAACCTTAAAAAGCTACATATTTAGATCATCTAGGAAGTGAAAAAGTCCACCATATAACCTCATTGGCAAAGGTAGTCCTCTCTGTTGTATCAATCAATCAAATCAAACTATCAAAAAAAAGAGTTTCATTTTTAAAATTTAAAGAAATATGTGGATACGTATTCTCAGGGCAACCATCTCACTTAAGGAGACAGGTAGAAAATGAATAGACAGACACCAGATAACAGATAATGGAGAGAAAGATAAGCAGATAGCAGTCCTACCAAAACTGTCATTTTGCTTGATGCCTTAGAGATGCTATCCCAGGACAATAAATCATAGTAAGATTTGGGACGGGTGAAAGGTATGATATCTTCTGTAAAGCTGGAGAAGGGGATTATGATAGAGGAGATAGGAAGAAAGAGGCAGCTGACCACAGACTCTCTCACGCACATGAGTTTCAGGGACGCATACATACAGAGGTTGAGGACCAGAAAATTGATTCCCTCAAAACTGTCTGTGCCCTGTGGCCCCTGGAAAGTGTTGGTGGACACCTTGCTGTCTCCAGTATGAAGACAGCAGCACTAGACCGATGAATGAATGCATTCTATAATAAAGGCTAAAGCATCCCCCCCCCAGATTGACAAGATAAGAGGAAGCATACAATTTAAAAATAGGGTGAGGGAGAAATAGAATAAAAATATTAACCCATATTCTTTACAAACTTAGAAAAATTAAAGGTTTCCCTACAAGAATGCTAAAGGAAATAGACATAATGTCACATCAAATGTGAAACTCCTTGAATCTCACCAGTACCTATGTTTAAATAAAGGTTTTCAGTATTTGTGACTCAAAATCTCACATGGGTTAAATCCTTCATTTATAGTGGTTCTGTTTCTTATTTAAAACAGTAAGCTCTCCTTAGATCCACTACTCTACTGAATCACATGATACGGAAAGAGATGGGGAATCTTAAACAAAAGGCAAAGGGGATGTGGCCAATTTTTACCATTTGGGATATTAACAAGTTTAACATGGCTCAGCAACTATCTTAAGTGTTATATCAACTATTATGACACAAGCTAAAGGTGTTGAAATATAAAGATGTGTGTTTTCTGAGAGGAAATGGGTGACAATTTGAAGGGCTGGTTTTTTTTAACATGAAGAATAAATACATAAGAATTCAGAACAGATTCTCAACCAACACTAATGTGCAATAAGGTTTATGCAAGTTCAGAAAGGTTTTAAACTTTTTTAAAAAATTTCAAGGAAACTACTGTTTCCTGTTATTTCTGGAAAATCTGTAAATGCAAGTGCTTTAAAAGGGAAACATTTATGGAGAGATATTAAGTACGTTTTACATGCTACACGTATCAGATTCTTGTTTGTTCAATTCCCCTAAGAAATTTGTAATTTTGCTTTAAATAAATGACATTTACCCTCAATTAAGGTTTCTGTCTTTTCATTCCCCTAAATCAGCATCCCGGTGGGAAGTACAGGGCTTCTAGGATTTTCTACACCTAGATAAATAAATTTTGGTGAAGATTTTCCTTTCTTGAATAAGATCCATAATCTCCAGAATACACTGTCTGAATTAACGATTTGGGCGAAAAAGCCTATGCACTGCTTGTTTCATAGGAAACTACTGGGAATCTTTAAAATAAAGATTGTGGATCAGTGCAAAAACTGTCAAAATCACATTACATAATCTGTTTACATGTGTACAACTATCTGTTGGAAGTCCCATGTTACTTTTGATACAGGTACTGCACTTCCTTGCAGAAGTATGAGTCATCAACTAGGTGGCTATCACTCAATCTGAAGAATGCACACGAAGAACTTTCACCACGGCCCAATCAATAAATTCAGGGCCATCACTTGATAACGGAAAAATTAACAACTATATAAATGTTTCTATGCCCACCAAAATCTCTTTCGTAGCCCTTGTAAGCACCATGGTTAATTGCGATGAACAAGTTAACACTGTGGATTTTAAAGGTCCAAACAGTGCAAAGTCAGCCAGCCTAGCAAGCTGGTAATTTATTATGAAAGTCAGTAATTACTCTTGTGGGGAGAAAACAGAAATAATAGAAATAAGAGAATTTAGTAGTATGAAGATTCTTTTTTTTTTTTTTAGCAGTACTATAAAGATTTTAATGTGAATGAGCAATAACTAGCTTGTTACCATCTGTGAACTGTCCATATCCATAGGTTTTTAACATACTTACTTGAACAATGGAGTTCCACAAACGACACATTTATATATTCCAGGATCTTTGTGATGTGTATATTCTCCTTCGAAGGCACTGATAAACAAATACACAGGGCATTAAAACAATTAAACAAAGTTCGCATTATTTCTTATAGAATGTATTTGCTTAAAATAGATTTCTCTAATAAATCTTTCAAGGGCTTTTTGTCCTAAAATGAGAACAGACCAAACATATGGAAATCTGAACATTACTAATATACTTCAAATCTATATAATAAAATGTGCATATAACTACTCCAAACTAGTGCAAGTTAAATTAAAAAAAAAAAAACTCAAGCCATCTAGTTATGTAATGCTTAAAAAAATTTTTTGCTATTAAAAAAAAAAAAACAGCTTGTAGTTCAGATTCGCAGAACAAAACATTACTACACAAGATTTCTGCCTACTCTACAGTGTCCAAGAGTGTATACCCCAAAATGCAGAAGGGTCCAAGACTTCAAGTGGAAGGAGACTTATTTTTTGGTTTGAAAAGGAATATTGCAGCTTTAAGGGAATATTTTTCTAAGTTAACAATCTTAAAGGCTAGGAGGTCATTCCACTAATGCAAATCAGCTGTGCTAGCCCAACAAAAAGTCTATGTGCTCTGCAGCTTGTTTTTATTATCCTTTCACCCTCTTTATGAGGTCCAATTTTTTTATAAACAGAATTTTTAAGAATGACCTAATCTCTAGTTGTTTGTGTGCATTCAATCATTTTGCTCGTCATGTACACAACAGGACGGGCAGAGGTCCTCCTGGGCTGAGACTGAAGCCCACCGTCGGCTCGTTGTGTGGTGAGGGTAGACTCTGTCAGAGATTCAACATTTGGCAAACTCAGTAAACAGTATATACTGTGACAGGAAGAGAGTGTTGCCTATTAACAAGGACCCCATGTGTGGTAAAAAGCTCTTTCAGTTCATGAATGAAAACAAGAAGTTACATCATTAATAAATTTGGATCAGAGGTAAGTCACGGCCTTATGCCAGCCTCCATGGTATAAATTAAACAACAAAATGGTTGGACCTTGGCAAGTTACCTTTGAGCTGGAATCAGCTGAGAGAGACTTTATTCACTAAAAACGTCTTGGAAGTGAACAGACTCTTTTTTCAGGACTTAGGGCGAATTTCCAAGGACCAAAGCCATGTGAGGGCAGTTATTGAAAATTTTTGACATTCCAACCACAAATGAGCCAATAAATACTTTCTCCACATGTGCTTCAAAAAGAAATTGGAGTGGGGTAGAAAGGAACTAAATTATGCTACCTTCTTTTTGCAGCCAAAACGTCTATACTTACAATGGCCACCTTCAAAATTTCAGCGTCCTGGCACAGCGCCATGTCCCTCGTGGTTTTGCTTACTGTGATGTCTTCCCCAAAAATGTACCTAACTCGCTATTACTTCCACACATTTTGTAGTAAACTAAAAACAGGCCCTTAATAAAAGCCTTGTGACTTTACATAAGATAGAGTGTTCATTGAATGGGGGAAAGAATAAATAAAACTTAGTCTTCACCTAAACAGTACCATTTTCAACCTTTTCAAGGATACCAATTTGTAGATGTTAGCAAAGAGGTGTAGCATTCTTTAAATTAAATGGCAAGGAACAGGATTCAAAGCGGGGGGGGGGGGTGAAGAAAACTAGCTCTTACTTAATGACCTTTTCTCGCAGCTCATCTTACCTTTCGGTCCCTTTCTCCTGAGTGACATGGTACTGCAGGGGTGTCAGCCGCTTCCTTAGTTCCTGCTGGGAAAAGACCACCTTACAGTTCTTTTTATCCCTACATGACCCTGGAAAAAGAGAGGACATGGGAGAAGGAGGCTTTTTAGCTTGGATCCCGAATGCTTGCTTTGGCTGGCCGCCACAGCCCAGCTTTAGCAGTCACTGGTCAACCACCAGACCAGCCCCTCACGCACCAAACTTACTTCCACGCAGCTGACTATTTCTCTCCGTTTACAGAGAATCCTTCTCAAGGTTCAGGTGATTCCATGGGAGCACTGACAAGGTGCTAGAGCCAAGGATACCAGCATGTGATGGTAATGACTCACTGAACATTCACAAAGATGGTAGTACATCCTTTACGTCTCCTGAAACCATGACCTTCTTTTTTCAAATAAATTCCAAAAGCATAACTCCATTTATAAGCATTTACACTGTATATATATAAGATGATGGGCATATTAGGTTAAATAATAACTCCCCATTCAAAAACTTTGCAACTCAGTAGAATAGCTGGAAACTGTCATTTAATTTCCATTCTGGGTGATTTAAATACCATCCTATTTTTTTTTTAACCCTGAAGATGCATTTTTTCCCGTGACTAGGAATTGCTGTCCTCTGTGATTGTCAGATACTGCACTAGGTTCTGTGGAGCCCTTAAAAATGAATGTCTTTTAAAGATTGTATCTTACCAGGTTAAGCAGGCAGCAAGAAAATTTTAATAGACTCCAGAAGGCATTGACACTAATGTAGATTCAATAAGTTCCAAAGAAAAGGTGAGAAAAATAGGGAGGGGGGAAAGACAAAGAGAAGAAGAAAAGTGAATGTGATTTTACTTACAGACCTACATCTTCTGTTTGCAAAGTGTATCTAGGAAGACTTCACTGAGTATATTTGAATGGTGAAATGATTTTAATGTGATTTTAATAACAATGGCATCTTTTATTTCAACCTATACAGACTGCAGTAAAATGTTCAGACGACACCTGTTTATACGTAGTATTTTATTTTACCTACACAAATGAATTGGAAAAGAAATATAACTCTGAGACAGGGCAACCCTTACTCACTGCAGTCAAATTGCTTTTTTTTTTTTTCCTTTTGTCATCCATCACAGTGGGAAAAAGGCTTGCAGTTGGCCCCATGTGCAAAAATCTCTTATCACGTTGTGAAGTTACTGAAAGAAAGCTTGCTTCGTTCCCTGAATACTAAACTCAACTTCTGTGAAATAAAAAAGAATTCTGATTTAGAATAGAAACGTTTTCTACTTCTTTTATTTGTCAGTCCCCAATGTCATAGTGTGTGAGATCACTGAAATTAAACCAGGACAAAATTGACTAACCAGTTACCCTGACTGTGGGATTGAAGAAGCATATCAGCTTCCAGGATCAGGGCCACCAAGATAGAGTGGTTGATTCTCTATGAGAAAATACAGAGGCGGGAAGAGAGCTAAGCAGAGCCAAAGAGAAAGTCGCACCTTGGAGCAGGCCTGTGGGTTGTCAAACAGCGCCTCTCCTGACCTTCCACAGAGCACGCTGGCCCTGCTCTGGCCTGGAAAGATCCACAGGAACAGCTGGCATATCACTAATGGTGTGCTGGTCTCTCATCTCAGTGGAACCCATATTATACTAGGCTTTATCCAAACACCTACTCCTTACACTTGTAATATTTCCAAGGGGTAGATGAGAAGTGTTTGTCCTGTCAGAACAAGCCTCTCCAGAGCCTGAGTGCTGAGCTGCTCTTTGTTACATATCAGTTGACTGGGATAGCTGAGTTTCTGCTCCGTTCACTCTAGCCCTCTTAAAAATTATTATTATTTTTTTTGTATTTCTTTATCAGTTGGAAGGGTTGTACCTTTGTGGATTTTGTTAGACTAACTGCATGTCTAAAGTGACAAAATCTACTGGTTAAAAGTATTCCGTCCAGTGGCATGGTAATTAAAATCTATACAACTAGAATTAAACAATGCTGTCCAAAATATTTTTGTTAATATATGTTCATTCATACAAAAAGACCAATTGTGTTCCCAAAGTTGAGAGAACTAAGCTACCCATCTGTATGTCATTTAGTACAAGAGAAGCAAACTGCAGGTTTAAATTACATGGTATTGGATTGCAATTTCCTAACATTGGATGCTTTTCTGCTTTTTTACCTTGAGTCATTTACTAAGGAGTGTTCATAAAAAGTAGCTTAAAGCACAGATGCTTGCAAATCGTTTAGGCAAAGATGTTTCTCTCTTTTTCATTCTCCCTCTCTCAAAAAATCTCCCTTTTCTGAAGAAAGAATAAAATTGTTGGTCAGTATTGACGAACCATGTCAAGCATTTGTACAGAGAGAAAAGGTAAAATTGAAAACATCTGATTGAAGTAAATAATACAAACATAAAAGCTTTAGTCATGAATGAAGGGTATTGAGGAGACCTTATTTCATAGATTAGAAATTACTTTTGATCTAAACATTCTTAAAAACAGATTGTTTTCCACTATGAACCATCTCATTAACTGTGCTACAGAGACCTCGTTTTAATGGCAAGCTCTGAAAGGGTGCTGCTGTACTCTTTTGTCAGACCCCATCTGATTTGGGAGGGGGATAAAGATTTCATTCCAGCTTTCTTTGTTTGTCTTTCAAGAACCACTAAAGCAGCATTCACACAAATTTTGTAGGAATGTGCCCTATGTCATAGCCTACAAATTATTTGGTTTTGGTGCACTTAAAGGTCATCTTCCAAATTAGCAAAATTTTCCTATATCCTGGCTTTTCAACCTTAAATATAAATATTGTTTCCTAACTGTAAGTGAGGTGTTTTGTTTTTTTTTTCTTTAAGAAATGCTAGTGCTTATTTAAAGTTGTCAAACTTTGTACGTTTTCATTCTTTGGTCATACCACGTTCTCAAAATAATTAGGCTCTTAAAGTGTACCTAATAGCAAAAAGAAGGATATGTAGACTAGAACAGCTATTGTGATTTTATATTAAACAACCCGGTGAGCAGTTAGTCAGATTTTAATCAATTTCTTGCCACATAGTTTAATAATACACTTCCTGGACAATTGAAAGCTCTACCATTACATTAGCTCTTCCAGCATCATAAGTGAAAACTGACATGTATAAACACAGAAAGGCTTCTCTTTTGTCTCTGATTTCCCTTCTCCCTCTCAGACTCACTTCCCTGAAGTCATATGGTGCCACTGTTAATTTTGAAGAAATTATTTCATTTTGAAATTCTACAATAATTCATTGGATGGTTTCCCTTTACTATCTTCACTTAGGAACTGTAATTTTCTTATTACACAGGGTAATTTAACATTAGTATTATATGACATCTGTTCAATGACCTCTAAATTGGCTTAGAAGTATGTTACGGAAAGATTTTTCCTTTATTTAAATGTTTAATAGAGTACTTTGAAGGCACAAGTGAGGCTGTGTGTATATATATAACTGCAACACAAAGTATATTTGAGAGGGTGACACTGCCACTTTGGTATCTAATCACCACACCATTCCCTACAGAGCAACTTTGGTATAGATAAAGATCCATCTTGAACGCCCTTCAAGGGTATTTATTTACTGAAAGACGCCCAAATTCTCTTTTATATTAACGCTTGTTCCATTGAGGCTTGCTGCCTCAGAGCCAGTATTATCTTGAAGCTCCAATGGAAAGCTCTTGCTCTAAGTAGAAACAGACTTTCAGCAGAACTCATGTTCTGGCTCTGCCTGCTTCCCACTCATGTGACCTTAGGCAAGTCCGTCTCTTAGCCATGTACTGACACCCTCACAGGCCTGCTGTAAGGATCACGGCAATTATCGCTTAGCAAACACTGTCCGAGTAAATGCAATATCACATTATCGTTCTGAATACAGTAAATTCTGAAGTCAAAAATGTATTCTGAAAGGTAGCCAGGTCAAGTATTTCAGCGTGCTGCAGTATCTTATTCGTAATTATTTTTCTATAATAATTCCCTTAGAACAGTATTTTTCCCACAAATTGTCTTTAAGAATGATTAAAATAAGAATTAAAAGAAAACTAAAATTTTGAGTATTTACTATGTGCCAGGCACATTTCTAAGCATTTTTACATAACCACATTTAATCTTCTCAATAATTCTAACATATAGATATCATGCTCATTCTGCAGATACGAAAACTGAGGCTCGGAGAGGTTGTAACATAACTTAATAGGGACAAACAGTAAATAAAATTATCGACTCAAACCAGGGCTCTCTGACTGCAAAGCCCATAGTCATTATTCTGTGAGGAAAAATTATGCTACAACGTTCTTCTTTCTTCTTAAATTATGCAATACCTTTTAGCTCCAAAACTACCGCTAACAAGATAATAAAGGAGAAAAGTAATAACTGCCTCAGTACATCCAGAAAAATACCTTTGTCTGCTAGCCAGTGTCTGTTTTCCCTGTGTTCATTCCTTCAACATAGGGTCAGTGACAAGGTTCAAATGGGATTCTCACAAAGTCTATAAAACGTTGAAAGGCTTTTTAACTTCCTGTTAAGAAGTAAATCAGATCTGTTACCTAAGTCTTAGAACACTTTTAAGTCATAAATCTTACGTTCAGTGTGAAAAATCAAAACAAAACAAGACCCAAAGATCCCATAACTTTAATTTTGGTTCTAGGATCAGAAAAAAAAAATGAAACTATTAAATATTTCCCCAAGATAATAAATAAATAAAAGATGACAAGAGCATCTTGTTTTGCTTTGACCTTACTGGGTTTAAACAGTAAAATTCATGTTAAAATAGCTTGCTACTATATTTCAAAGTGGTATACTCTGATTTTCATTACAATGTTCAATTTTCTGTTGGTTATTAGTCTGTCATATTGGAAAGCTGAAAACTATCCGGATATGATAGTGTTAGAAATTTCCAAATTAAGTGGGCATTTATAAAAGCCAAATCTGGCCCATTTTTAGAAGAGAATGTAAAATGTATTCCATGAACCACTTTTTCATATTTGTCTGTTTTGCATTCCAATAACCAAATAAAGGAAATGTCAAGCACAGGGAAGAAAAGCTTCCATGCTAGCAGAAGCATACCTAGTTCTGGTTTTTCTCTCCAAGT